TTGTAAATCTCTTTCCTCTCATCTTAAAAACATGTACCCTAGCCATGAAAACCCCATCCTAGGAAAAGGACACTTACCATTAACCCTATCTATGCTCCTCATGATTTTATTAACCTCAATAAGGCCACCTCTCAACCTCTGATGCTCCAGTTAGTGAAATGGGTAGGAACTGTCCTAAGACATCTTTCTCAAGAGTACAAGAAGGATGTAGTGGACTGGAAAACTAAGATTCCATTCAGAGTTTATGGTTGATATCTCAACGGGGTCTGGGGAAATGGGCTGTGTTGAGATTTCTGTGATGGTCACAATTGAATGAGAAGTCCAGTGGGCTGATGTGGACGTCAGGTGCACATCACTTCACTTTTTGACAAGCAGCAAGGCTTATACCTCGCCCAACACCTTGTTAGTGGTCTGGTATGCCTCTTAATATTCAGCTTCCTACCTTGCCAATGCACCAAACAACTAGACAGTGAGAAAACTTGACATAGAATTCAGATTGGTTACCTGATGAGTTCAACTTACTACTTACTCTGAAAAAACTTTGTGTTAGACACCAGGTATCAACATCACAGGGCGCAGCCCATAGGAACTGGCCACTTAGAGTCATAGAGATATACAGCACAGAACAGATCCTTCGGTCCAATTCAACCATGCTGACCAGATACCCTATATAAATCTAGTCCCATTTGCCAGCATTTGGCCCATATCCCTCTAAACCCTATGAATAGTCATATACCCATCCTTTTCTGAAGAAGAGTCCTGACCCGAAACATCAGCTTTCCTGCTCCTCTGATGCTGCCTGCCCTGCTGTGTTCCTCCAGCTCCACACTGTGTTATCTCTGACTCCAGCATTGACAGTTCTTACTATCTCTGAGTGAGATATACCCATCCAGATGCCTTTTAAATGTTGTAATTGTACCAGCCTCCACCACTTCCTTTGGCAGCTCATTCCATATATGCATCACCCTCTGTGTGAAAAAGTTTCCCCTTAGGACACTTTTGTATCTTTCCCCTCTCACCTTAAACCTATGCCCTCTAGTTTTGGACTCCCCCCACCGTGCCTATTTACCCTATCCATGCTCCTCATGATTTTATAAACCTCTACTTGTACTCCATTTCCTTGAACATTAACATCCAATATGTGCCAGCCTCTCAGAACCCTCATGGGACATCTCTGACCCTCTCAGGGTGATAAGTCAAATGTCGGGCAGCCCACCTCACACCTTTCTGCCCTATTGTGGGCTGTTTTACTCCTGAAATGAGAGAAAGGCAGGTGTTATGGGAGATAAAAATGGGTGACGTAGCTGTTATTTTTGATGAAGGTGGAAAAGTGTCTTGAGTGAGTGTTTAGGTAGTGCAGAGAGCGTGCAGGGTGGAGGTGTTGGGGGTTGGGATGAGTAGGAGCAAGAGAGGGAAGATGTAGCAGGCAGTAGTGAGAATGGTAGGGCATGGACCATGGTGGAATGTGGGTATAGTAGCATAGATTGAATGTATCAGAGAGAAGACAGTGGCATTTACATTGGCAGAGTGGAGAAGATTGAAGTTCTTCTGAGTGCTAGACCTTCCTCCAAATGGCTGAGACTGCTTTAATCTGGTTGGCAACATCGGATCAGGCTGGCATAGTTTGTGTCACGGCCTCCATTGCTAGTTTTGGGGGAAGAGGAAGTCCCACTTCTGCAGTATACCATCCAGCAGCACCTCCAGGCCCCTGCTGACAAAGCAAGACCCCAATTTCCCCCATGTCTGCCATGTTCAGGGCAATTATCAGGAACCATACAGGGCAGCACTGGACTGACAGTGCTGTCTGGGTACCCCGTGGACTTATAAAGATGCTGTGGGTACAATGGATACCAGTGAATTCCAGAGTGGCAAGTTCTTCCAGGAATAGCACATGGTAAGATGAAGCCGAAATGGAACATGAGAGATGCCATGGTGGGAGTAGGTAGTTAAGGAGATGCGCTTGTTAGGATACAGTGAGAAGGCTTAGCCAGGCTCACGGCAGAATGTTCTCCAAATGTACGATTCGGTCCAACATCACTGTGGGCGCAAACTTTTTTTTAGCATTATGTATCTGTAAATTGAACATTGACTTTGCCATATCATTTCTAGATGAAATTTTGAGAAATGAAAATGTAGTAAAGTGTAGATTAATCTGTGTTATGGTTTGTCATAGAATCCTTACAGTGTGGAAGCAGGCCGTTTGGCCCATCAAGTCCACACCAACTCTCCGAAGAATATTCCACCCAAAACCCCACATATCCCTGTAACCCTGCATTTCCCATTGCTAATCCACCTAGCCTGCACATTCTTGGACAGCAATGTAGCAAGACCAATCTATCTAACCTGCACATCTTTGGATTGTGGAAGGAAACCCATGCAGGGACAGGAAGAATGTGCAAATTTCAAAAACAGTCACCTGAGGGTGGAATTGAACCAGCGTCCCTAGTGCTGTGAGCCATCATGCTGCCTTATGTTAATAATGTGACGGTTGTAGGAAACATCTTAGCAGGGCCACTCATTTTACTGGAAAGGTGGACTAATTCATTGTAAGCAATAAATTACTAAAATGCCAAGCCACCAATGTAATAAAATTAAATTTGACTTGCTTCTATAACGTTAATTCTTGGGAAGATCAATATTTTCACATGATATAGATAAAGTAATCATTAAGTTGTCAGAGGAAAGCAAATATAATAATGGAAATTGATCTATAATACACCAGTCAAAATCTTGGAATCCTATATAATAAAAACAGCATTCAGTCACCATCTGTTATAGTGCTTTTAAGCAGAATCCAGATGATGTTTGGCAACAGTTATTGAATGATCCATTCATCATTTCCATTTTAAGGCACCCTACGGGTTCTCTTATTAACTTCTGGTTTTTAGCAATTTTCTTCCCAATCCATATTGTGCATACTTTTTAAAATAGTTGATTTGTGACTCACAAAGTTGAATGAAACATTCCAAGGAATACTTCTGTGAAATTCAATATTCATCCTGCTTGGCTTAATGCAGTACAAAACATCATGGCCAATTCCACCAGTGGGAAAAAAAATTCTTTCTCAAGTTCCCACACTCTGAGCTGACATGGGAGATTCAATATGAAATAATAAAATGATTACAACATGAAAGGAAGCCTTTGGTCCATTATGTCTATTTCAGCGCTCTCCAAGGATATCTCATCTCACTGCTTTGCCTTTTTACGTAGCCATGCTATATTTTCTGTAATTATCTTTCAAAGGCCTTGATTGAATTTTCCTCCACCAGGTTGTCAAGCCATGCGTTCTGTTTTTATTGTTTCATGAACTTATCAGTATTACTGGCAAAGTTAGAATTCCATGTTTATCCCTAGTTACCCTTGAGAAGGTGTTGGAGAGCCACTTGCTTGAACTGCTGTTGGCCCAACCTTATCATGTAGACTACAGTGATATTAGGAAAAGAGGTCCATTGTTTTGATACAGCAACAGTAAAGGAATGGCAATATCATTCCAAGCCAGGATGGAGTGTATATTGGAGAGGAACTTGCATGTGGTATGTCTGTTTTCCATGTCTTTCTTGATTGGAGAGGTCATAGGTTAAAAAGGTGCTATTGAAAGAGGCTTGCAATTTGCAGTATCTTTTATAGATGGCTTATATTGCCGGTGTGATTGTGTTGGAGGGAGTGGACATTGGAGCTGGTGGATAGAGAATAAAGAATGGCATGGATAGATTGGAAAGTATGAGTCTTTTTTCCCAGGGTGGAGAGTTAATTACTAGGGGACACATGTTCAAAGTGCAAGGGGGAGAGTTTAAAAGAGATGTGCAAGGCTAGTTTTTCACACAAAAAGGGTTAAATGCCTGGAACACATCAGAGGAGATGGTAGATGCAGACATAATAGCAGCATTCAAGAAGCACATGGATGAATACATGAATAGGAAGGGAATAGAGTGTTATGGATCCTGTAAGTGAAGACAGTTTTAGTATGGAAGGGCAAAATATGTCGGCACAGGCTTGGAGGGCTGAAGGGCCTGTTCTTTGTTTCTTTGAATAGGGTGCCAGTCAAGTGGTTTCTTTGTCCTGTATGGTATCAAGCTTCTTGATTGTTGTTGGAGCTGCACTAATCCAGACAAGTGTGGGACATTCCATCACACTCCTGACTCGTGGTTTGTTGATGATAGTGAGGGTTTGAGATGTCAGGAGGTGAGTTATTTGACGCAAAATATTCAGCTTCTTACTTCCTGTTGAAACCACAGCATTTATAAGGCTGGTCCTGTTCAGTTTTTAGTTAATGATAACCTCCAGGATGTTGATAGTGGGGGATTCAGTGATGGTGATGGCATTCAATGTTAAGGGGCAGTTCTGTGCCTTTGAGAAGCTGTTTGACACAAATATTACACGTAACTTATCAGATCAAACCTGAACGTTATCCACATTACATGTTGCATGCAAATGCTGTATAATCATCAGCCAACATCTACACTTGACATTATGATGGTGGGAAGATTGTTGGCGAACCAATGAATGTCATGTGGCCTAGGACACTACCTAGAAGAGCTCTTGCAGAACTATGTTTTAGGCCAATCCTCAATGGCATTTTGTGGTTAATATTCTAACCAGTGGTGAGCTACCCCCATTCCCATTGATTTAATATTGCTATGGTTCCTTGATGCCTCCAGTGTGCCACTGTGCTACCACTTTTTTGGTGCTGGTTATAGTATAGATATTTTTGAATCAATCTGTTCAGATATGACACCCCTGGAGCAGACTTGAACCCAAGCCTTCTAGCTCAGAAGTAAGGACACTACCACTGCACTACAAGAAGGCCTGTCTGGTTATAATATAGCTTTTTTTTAAGAAAAATTAGGAACAGGTGTAGACCATTCAGTTCTTAAGCTTGGTTCACCTTAATCTGTGACTAGCTCCATCATTTGCTTTGATTCCATAACCCTTAATACCCTTGCCTAAAAATCTATCGTACAGTAATAGAAAAGTAAGCTTAACCCAATCTCACTTCTTAGGTTTGTGAGTTTCAAATTTTTACTACCCATCGAGCAAAGGGATGTCATTTTTGATTTCACCCCAGACAGTCAAGCTCTAATTTTAAGGAATGCTCTAAGACAAATGAAATACTATCTATGTGCTTAGATCTTAAATACCTCAATTTCATCATCTCTTAATCTTCTATATGCAAAGGACTATAAGCCTTGTCCAAGTGACACAATCTCACAATTTCACCCTTTGGTGTTCTTTCCATGTCAGAGGTGTTCATGGATAATGTCAAAGTCCTCAAAAACAAATTATTTTCTCATATTTAATAATCCTAGCTCATTGGATAAGTCTGTTACCGAATTAAGTTTTGCTTGTAAATCCTCTGTTGCTGCCATCATAAAAGACCAGAACTGACCAGGACCAGGATTTAAGCAGTTAAAAAGTCACTTCAGCAGTGTAGATATTGCTTCCTCAGAAGAAAGACAAAGACATCAGTGGAAGGAGGAAATCTCTTTATTTGTTTTTCCTCCATCGATGTTTCCAATCATAAATATCAAACATTTTCTTTTTTAAAAAGTATAAATAGTTGTGTTTAAAGAGAAACAGTTTCTCATCTGGTATTCCAAAATACTCAATTGCATATTGCATGGGTTAAAAGTAGCCTTCCTACTGAGGAATCATGTTTCATTTCTTCTGTTATAGACTCTTTATTCAATGGCACCATTTCCCTTTCCACAACTGGCTGAACTGAGAGAGAAATACACTTATAATATCAATCCATTTCCGGCCCCTGTCAAGTCTTCAGAGTCACAACGGTAAGGGAAACTTCAATTATCCAAATAATGATAGTATTTATGCACAATGCATTAGGACAAAATTCAGTCTAATTACTAGCTCATAATTGGTGATAGATGTTGATTATTGATTATTCCAAATATTTAAACTGTGAAAATACTATTTTGTGATTTTTGATAATCTTAATACCATTAAATTCTTGATTTTCTGAATATGTTGCTTGTATAAAAGAAGTTAACTTTGCTTGTGATGTGATATGTTTCATTTTTCTGACTGTTTGCAGTGGTTTACACCCCTAGTCCTTGTAATTTTCAACACATGCAAACTATTGTCCTAAAGTATTCTAATATGCCCTATTTGAGATTTCACCATTTTTGAATAATGCACATTGTCTTATATTGGATTTTCTTCCTCTTTCCCAAAACGTGTCACAGAAATCTCGGTAAAACAAAAGACAGTGATGAAGAGATTGATTTGGATGATGATGATGTAACAGCTTCTGCAATTGGCTGCCTGGGACCATTCAGTCTTCTTGTACCAGAACTGCAGAAATATCAAAAACAAGACAAAGGTAATCTTTAACATGATTTTTAATTCTCCTTTTAGAAAGTGAAAGCATTGAAAGATTAGCAGCAACAAGAGCTGCTAGTTTTGATGATATGAGGTTAACAGAGTAACATTAGTGATGAAAGCAAAGTCACAACCAAAGTGCCCTAATAGACCCAATTCAGATTACTCTGTCAAACAACGGATTATGGTTCAGTTATGAAGATTTTGATGTTAGGTACACGTATCTTTTTAAAAATATTCATTCAGAGAAAAACAGCATACAAGAGGTAGAATTTAATATTTGAGATGTGAGGTCTTGCCTGGTAGAAGTCCTGCATTGCCTCAACTGAGGAAAGGCTGACGATGTAAAGTACCCATCAGGGATTGAGATAGTGTCACATTTCCCCAGAATTGAGGACCCGATGGAAATCAAATCCCCTGAGAACTGCAGCCAGTTAGAAGCTAGCAGCTCTACATTACCGTCATTGCCAACGGACATAGTAGCAGCTGCCAGTAATGCCTCCACCAGAAGGCCACGATCAAAGACAGAGCTCAGGCCAAAGGCAAGTAAAGCCAGAATGTAGGCTGAGTGGCAGGTTCTCAGGGAATGGCTCTCAGCTGGACTCCTGCTTCCCAATGCCAGGTTCCCTGATCAGCCACCAATTGACCTTGAATGATCCTCCTCCCACAGAAGCCACCAGATTTTCATTTTTGGCTCTCTGCAGAGTGGCTAGCCATACCCCCCTCATCCTTCTTTTGCCACTCGCTGAATACCAATTGCATGTGGGGGACAGCCTTTAAACGTGCATCAGTTTCCCACTTACTGTCCTCAGCTGACAACTGGATCAGAGTCTTTCCAGTGCAGACATTATCAGGAGGAGGCGGGAAAGTGGCTGTGTCCCCTCCCCACACCACCTCATTCGATTTAAATGTACCCATTGCCTGTAACCTTGCCTCTGGGGGAAGTGGGATGGGTACAGGATCATTAAATTCTGCTCTTAATTTCTTCTTACTGCAAGCCTTCTTGTTTTCCAAAACTGCCTTTGCGAAGTATGCGATAGACAAAAGTTTCATTAATCTCTCTCTCAGGTATATTCATTCAATTTCCATTTTTTTTTTGTCTCTAAGTTTGGACAGGCTGGTACTCAGCACTATTGTCTCGTTAGTAGATGAAGCCCAAATTAAATGACCAAAATACTATTAATTTACAACCTACTGAAATTAATGTAATAACATCATGTTGAACTGTGTGACTGTTTGAGGTATGGTTAAGTGGTGTACAAAAATACTTCTCAAACACCAAACTTTGTGGTGGCTAAATAGGCAGTTGGCCTTTGGAACAGTTGCTAGAAGTGAAAGCTGTTGGAAAGGGAATAATTAGAGGAAATTATTAGAATGGAATGACAAAAATTCTGAAAGCCTTCAGGGAAATCCAAATTGCATCTCAACCCATTCAGAATCTTCACCAAATTAAGGGGAATAGAGACTCAAAGTAAGCAGACTAAAAGAAAGAAAAGGAGATCCAAGCTATAGGCATCAATTTTCAGGCAAGTGACAAAACAGACACTTTCATTGATGCCTGCTTAACTTGTAACATGAACTACTTGTGAGGGGGTAGCCCTTTTCACACACAGTTCTCATCTGTGTAGGTAAGAGTTACAGTATATTCATGTTTAAGACAGCAGTTTGCTGTTAGATTAGATACATCACCCCTATACTGCATGGTCACTGCAGATATTCTTGCACCAATTAACATCACTTTGCCTCAGTGACCAGGAATTTAGATTGCACTCCGCTGCTGTAACTTCTTCAAACGTTTGGCAGAAACCCCATTAAAACTTATGAACAGGATTTCTATCATACTTCCGTTAGTGGAGTTGAAACAGCACTGTTTCAATCTGTGGACAGATTGTCCGTTGATCCAAACTCGATATAGTTCCCAGTAGTCACTGCCAAATAAGTACGCCAGGAGTTGTGCGAAGAGAGCATGAGAAACATGCATATGATTGCTTTTGCTTTTCACTGAAAACTACAATGTATGCAACTTTAAAAAAAAATTCCATTGTCATTCTTGCAAGCAAGCAATATTTCTAACCAACTAGGACATTTTACAAAAGTTGAAGCCTTTTCACATGTATTGATGAAACAAGTGATTGTTTTATGTGGATGATTTGTTTCTTCTGTTAATGTGAAATGGAATAATATTTGTTAATCAAGCCTTGTCACCCTTATCAGCTTGTGTAAATTCGACAATAGTTTTACAGTACATTTATAAATATGCTGTAATATTGTGTTTGCAGTCACTTTCATTTTGTTTCTAACTCTGTAGACCATTTCCAGGTACCATAAATGTTACTATTTTACTGATGAAATCTACAGTTTGACCTTCCATCAAGCCTGAGTGTGACAGAAATGTGAAACATATTATAGAAGTTTAAACTTTTCCATTTTTCTGGTTGTTAATTCTCCAGATCAGCAAGATGAACAAATCCTGAAATCGAGCAACATAGCCGAGCTCAGCCCTGGGGCGATTGATGCGAGCCGCAGTGAGCACCACTCTGTCTTTAACAGCATGATGATGGAACGCATGACAACTGATATCAATGCACTGAAACGACAGTATGTTAGGATGAAGAAGAGGCAACAGCAACAACAAGCCCATCTCATCTTCATTAAAGCAGGTAAAGGATCATTCAGAATCACAGCTGCACTTCAAAACCATTTATAGGACTTTATCAGATATTTAATTTATACTGATATATACATTGACCTACATATAGGTAGATCAGAAGGCCACTAATTCAACACTCATTCCTTGGTGGGTTCTTATCTCTACCAGTGGATGAAATGAATTAATTGTTCTGATTCCTACTGAGTGTCTCTACTTGTTAGAAAATTCAAATATTTGGAATCGAATGAGAACAGGAATAAGCTTAACTTCTTTAAAAAAAATTAATTTGTGGGATATGTGTGCCATTACCTGTCACAGAATTTATTGCCCATCCCTAATTTCCCAATGTCCAGTTAGTATTCAACTACATTGCTGTGGATGTGGAGTCACATGTAGGCCAGACCAGGTAAGGATGGAAGTTTTCCTTCCCTAAAGATCATTGGTGGACCAGATGGATGTTTACAGCAATCAACATTTAGGTTAGCTTTTAACTCTAGAATTTTATTGCATTCAAATATCACCATCTGCCATGGCAGGATTCAAATCAATGTCTCCAGAACATTAGCCTGGCGTTCTACATTACTAGTCCAGTGGCATTATCTCTAGAACACCACCTTAACAATAGCACTTGCCTTCATTGGTCAGTGAATTGAGTATAGCTCTCATATTGTGGCTGTACAGGGTATTGGTTAGGCAATTTTTTGAATACTGCATTCAATTCTGGTCTCTCTTTTATGGGAAAGATGTTATTAAACTTGAAAAGGTTCAGAAAGGATTTACAAGGATGTTGCTAGGATTGGAGGCTTTAAGCTGTAGGGAAAGGCCGAATAGGCTGGGACTCTTTTTCTCTGGAGCTTCAGAGGCTGAGGGGTGACCTTTATAGAGGTTTATAAAATCATGAGGAGTATGGATAAGGTAAAGAGACAAGGTCTTTTCCCTGGGATGGGGGAGTCCAAAACTAGATAGCATAGGTTTAAGGTGAGAGGGGAAAGATTTAAAAGGGACCGGAGATGTAACCTTTTCAATACAGAGGGTACTGCATGTATGGAATCAGCTGCCAGAGGAAGTGGTGGAGGCAGGTACAGTTACAATAATTAAAAGGCATCTGGATGGGTACATGAAGAGGAAGCCTTTAGAGAGATATGGGCCAAATGCTGGCAAAAGGGATTAGGTCAGTCTAGGATATCTGGTCGGCATGGACGAGTTAGACTGAAGAGTGTGTTTCCATGCTGTATAACTCTATGACCTTTCTGCTGGTTGCTGACACTTACTGCCTGGGCTAATAAATGAAGAAAAGCCTTTTAAATAAGGTCCTAGATTGTAGAATAAAAACAAATTTCTTGGAGAAACTCGGGAGGTCTGTCGGTATTTGTGGAGAGAGAAACAGAGTTAACATTTCAAGTCCAATGTTGGACTGTGAAACATTGTCCATTAAGGGTGGATGATTTTCATGGAAGAGAAATGGTGAAAACTGGCAAAGTGTAAATGTCTGAATGCGCACCTAGTGCAGGAAATTGCTGGTTAAAAATGACAGCGAGGCATCTAAAACAAGGCATTTCCAGAACAATAACACCAATTTTAGTATATGGAGGATTTCTGCTTACCATGCTTGCAATATACACACTGATCATTTTGTCCAGTTTTTACATTTTCTGTTTCTTTTATCAGGAACAGAAGATGAAATTAATCCTGGGATCATCCCAGATCCTAGGAACAAGCTGAATAATGCTATTGAAAGAAGTTAGTGTTTTATAATTTTATTTTATTATTTCTTCATATTATAGTTATATATGGAGGTACTAAATGTGAAAACACCAAAAGTAAATTAACTTCTTTTCCTTTCCCTGTGGTGCACAATCTTTTCTGTCTTTCTTTCTCTTTTTCATTGAAACATCTTTTTTTTTCCATATATCAGTATCTCTTCTATGGAGCAACTCATGGAAATTTAATGTACTTTCAAGTCCTACTTATCTTGCATTTTAGGGCTTACACATGTTCAACCATCTAATCATATTTTTGGATCTAAGGCTTTCTAATGTAATCATTGCTGGCCCCAGCCTTGTTTCCAGGTGCAATTTCAACAAAATATCGCTGAGCTCCAGGCATCAGAGATCACTTCCAAAAAGGGTGGTCACCTTTGGCAAAGACACAGAAAGAGAGAGAGAGAGAGAGAGATGATCAAGGAAGTGGAAACAGGTTCTCTCACTTTTAATACGAACGTTTCTCCACCTGTATAAAAGCAGTACAGAGAGAGGTTTGATGATCATACAAGGTTATGGCGGGTAACAGAATCCAGTGAATGTTCGATGAAATGAATAATAAAGCATATCTATCACTTAACAATTATATTTCACTCCACTCTCATACTTTAAATTGTGATCTTGAATTCTCATGATTTATTAGGATGTCCTTTACAGTTCATCGTAACCCAAAGTTGTTCTTACACTCATATCCATAATGTATTTGTGCTTAAATAGTCTCCCATTTAATGCATCCGCGTCTTGGCTGACATTTGAGGGATTACTGCATGATTATAACTAATATCTATTTCTCATATTTTTCTTCATGCTTTTTGCCCTCTTTCTGTTGGAGATGCTATCCCACAAGAAGATTGTGAACATAAGATTTCATTCATATCCTTCCTGTTCTTATGTCATTTGGGTCTTCATTTCTAATTAATTCACCCTTCTATGGACCGCCCACAAGATATGTTAACTGAAGAACTGCCAATTTTTTCCCTTTTGAAAGTAGTTTTACTAAAGCTCAACAGGAAGTAACATTTGATATCTTTCCAGTGCAAAAAATAACAGCCACAGATGAACAACAACACTCCTACTGTTCTTAATCTTTCTTGGTGCTTTGCGCACATTCAGAAAATGCCATCAGTCTCTGGTCTTCTCTTAAATATGGTTCAATCCATTTCTCATATTTATGCTGACTCTCTGTAAAGGCTATTGAACTAGCAGCAATCTCTTCCCTTTACCCCACAGACCTGCAATTATTTTTCTCCTCAGATCACTGTTCAATTTCTTTTGAAAGCCCTGATTGAAGCTACTCTGTCCACACTGCTCAAGATTCTGAACAACACATACAATTTTGAACACCTCTATCAAGTCTCGTCTTTCATCTCTCAGGAAGACAGCCCTAGCATCTCCAATCCAGCCATGTCACCTTGAAGTCTTTTGTCCCCAGCATCAGGATTTCACATGGCTTATTACCCATTTTCTATATCCCAAGACTTCAACTATTTATGCACATAAATTCAAAGGTATCTCGACATTTGCACCCCCTTTAGAATAAAACATTATTTTCTTCATTCTCCCTACCAAAATCTATCATTTCAAATTTCTGTGCATTAAATTTCATTTTTATGTCTCTGCCCATTCCACCAGCCAATGAGTTCTCAAAGTTTACCAGTATCCTCTCATGGTTCACAATACAACCAAGTTTTGTATCATCTTCAAATTAAGGTAGGGTCATTAACACAGATGAAGAAAATGAGTGGATCCCCACCCTATTCTTCCTCTACTCTGACCATTATAACTTCCTATTTTAAAATGCTTTTTGGTCAGTTTTGCCAAGTTGATACTTATTGTTGACAAATGTGTTTTATCTCTTTCTATCTATCTGCCTGTCTGTTTGTCTATCTATCTCTTTATCCATCTTTCTAACGTTCGCATCAGGAATATTCAGATTCAATTTTGAATCTTACCTCTGTCTCAACTTCAAAAGAACACCCGGATAATGTGAATTTCCCTATATACTTGAGTACATTTGCCAACTCATGCTGAATTGCAAGCATCAATGTGCTATGGCAATGTGCCCACCAGGATCTGAGTGAAATCTGATCTTACAGTGATGATGTAATATTTAATAAAAGTTCATCCAAAGTTTATTACATTACAATGTAATGGTATAATAAATAAGTGATTTATATTTTTTTTTACTTGAAGGTTTAGAATGAACATTGTGTCCCGAGTGTGATTTATTCTGAAAATTTCAGGAGAAATATAAAGATGGAGCTCTGCAGTCAGAGATTATGATTATTCCTGTCACTTATTGACTAGTGAGTTTTTTTTTTATTGTACATTTCACAGGTGAAGGGCCAGTCAGCACCATTCTCCCATCACAGACCAATCAGACTCCAATGATGAACCACTTACTTCTAGGGAAGAAATTGAGAACTACTAACAGAATCACCAGGAATGCTGTAATTCATGTCCCTGGGCCAAAAACCTCACAGGATGACATGAAGTCAAAGCTCAATTCTCCATGGCGCACTCACATTCGAGTTCATCGGAAAAACCTAGCAAGGATCAAGAACCAGCTGAGCTACGGTGATACCATAGGACTAATGGAGGATCACAGTGACATTATGAAACGGAAAAGTAATAAACCAGTAGAAGAATCATCTCTTAGCTCGACAGAAAACAATGAAGCTGACAAGAAAAGTACTGAGGATCGAATATCAGCACAAGCAGATGGACAATCTTCTGATCCAGTTTACAGGGATGCTAACGACAATGTGACTGTAGTTCAGCACCAGCTAAAAAGACTAGACTTAAGCCCGACTGACACAACTGCAACCGAGCCTCCCAGTCCATCACCAAGCCAAAGGTGCTCATCTGATTCTTCAGATTCCGAGAAAGGAATTTCGGATCTAGGGCACAGAACTAGCACTTTGAAGATTCAGACATTCAACCCTTTTCCTAGTGTTAAACCTCCCAGAAAATCAGCAGCAGCAAGAAATTTAGGATTGTATGGGCCAACTGAAAGGACCCCAACAGTCCATTTTCCCCATATGAGCAAAAAGGTTAACAGCACTGGAAACAACAAACTAAAGGGGACCAGGAAAGAATAAATAAGTTAGAATAATTCTGTAATGATCATTTTGTTATAATTTATTCTTAAATTAAAATGTTAAGACATTTTTTAATCATGTGCAATGTTAGAAGACGTACTTTCTGCAAATAACAGTTTTAAAAAAGTGGTTTGACAACCTAAAGTCAAATTTTAAAGTGTTGTTGTATTAAATACATTTTCCAGAAATTGAAGACCAATATTAGATGCACATAATGTGATATTTATGGGCAACTGAAGGAAAACAAAACAAAGCATGAAAGGTGATGTAGTATGAAATGATTTAAAATTCTCATAACTGCTGTCTTACCTATCGTTATTGTATAATGTAACAATAAAAAGTACTGTTTACAATTTCAACTACAAATTTCTTTTCATTTTTAACCCTCTGAAGGTGGGCAAAATCCAATGTTTTGGGTTCATAGCACTTGTATCCAGTTTCTGTTCTATTTATTGTATATTTAACTTTGCGTGTTTGAGCCATGAGAAAATATGGAATTACAAATGACAACTCAAACAACCTACACTTTATAAAACTGTAAACATTTCTTTGTGGACATATTATTCTGCAGCTTTTTGAGTATATTTATTTCAGTCATAAGTATAGGGCTTCCACTGGTGGTATACTGGGTAAGTCTAACGTGACAGTAGGGGCCAAATATAGAGTCATAGAGATGTATAGCATGGAAACAGACCTTTTGGCCCAATCTAGACCCATTTGCTAGCATTTAGCCAATAACCCTCTAAACTCTTCCAATGCTAATGCCAATCCAGATGCCTTTTAAATGTTGTAACTGTACCAGCCTCAACCACTTCCTCTGGCAGCTCATTCCATTCACGCACCACCCTCTGTGTGAAAAAGTTGCCTCTTGGTCCCTTTTAAATCTTTCCCCTCTCACCTTAAACCTATGTCATCTAGTTTTGGACTCCCCAACCCAGGGAGAAAGACCTTGTCTATTTACCCTATTCATACCCCTTATGATTTTATAAATCTCTGTCACAGAGATTGACACAAAATTTTGCAGACCTTTAAAAATAGCAGATGGGACCCAAATGGAGAAGTTTATTCCCCGTTATCAAGGATCAATTTTTTTGCCAACAGAAGAAAGATGGCTCACTCAGTCAGGAGCAGGACCATTTGAACTCAGGACTGAATTCAAACAGAACTGACTTTGGCAGGTCCAATACCCTTAACACTCACTGCTCAACAAATAAATCGATAATGTAAGTGCTCTTGGGGTTTATAGGTTTATGTATCTGACATAGCTGTAGATTTTAAATGCCTTGCTCTTTCAACTTTAAAAGACAGACTATAGTTGTCAGAATTTAAATAAGCCATTACTGGGGTGTTTTAATTGGTAGGAACAAGTTGCAACACATTAGCATCTGGACACGTAGCTTTGATATAACATTTAGCTTACATTTTTCCCAAGGATCATGTTCCATTCTGAATACTTGACCAAGGTTTTTAAGCACAGTTATCTCAGCTGGGGTTCAGAGTTCACAGTTTGATATTTTAAAGACATTATTAAAGGGTTATCTTTCTCTGATATGAGATATGGATAGATATTTGCTTTGACAAAAGATTAATCACTTGGAGATTTAAATCCATTTCCCTGTCTTATCCCCACAACCCTTGATTTCTTTACTGATATAAGCATATTCAAGGCTGAGATATACAGATGAAAATGACTGAACTTTGATAGCTCTCTATGGTAAAGTATGCGACAGATTCATTGAGTTATAGAGTCATAGAGATGTACAACACAGAAACAGACCCTTCGTCCAACTCATCCATGCTGACCAGATATCCTCAATAAATCTAGTCCCATTTGCCAGAATTTAGCTCATATCCCTCTAAACCCTTCCGGTTCATATACCCATCCAGATGCCTTTTAAATGTTACAACTGCACCAGCCTCCACCACTTCCTCTGGCAGCTCATTCCATATACACATTATCCTCTGCGTGAAAAAGTTGCCCCTTAGGTCCCTTTTGTATCTTTCCCCTCTCACCTTAAACCTATGCCCTCTAGTTTTGGATTCCCCAACTCTGGGAATTAAAACATCCCAGTAATGGCTTATTTACCCTAACCATGCCCCTCATGATTTTATAAACATCAATAAGGCCACCCCTCAGTCTCTGATGCTCCATGGAAAATAGCCCCAGCCTATTCAGCCTGTCCCTGTAGCTCAAACCCTCCAACCCTGGCAACATCCTTGTAAATCTTTTCTGAACCCTTTCAAGTTTCACAACATCCTTCCTATAGAAGGGAGTCCAGAATTGCACACGGTATTCCAAAAGTGATCTAAGCAATGACCTGTATAGCCGCAACATGACCTCCCAACTCCTACACTCAATGCACTGACCAATAAAGGCAAGCATACCAAATACCTTCTTAACTATCCTATCTACCTGTGACTCCACTTTCAAGGAACTATGAACCTGCACTCCGAGGTCTCTTTGTTCAGCCCAGGACCTTAACATTAAGTGTATAAGTCCTGCCCTGATTTGTCTTTCCAAAATGCAGCACCTCACATTTATCTGAATTAAAATCCATCTGCACTCCTCAACCCGTTGGCCCATATGATCAAGATTCCATTGTACTCTGAGGTAACCTTCTTTGCTGTCCACTACATCTCCAATCTGCAAACTTACTAACCAAACCTCCTACGTTCACATCCAAATCATTTATATAAATGACGAAAAGTCGTGGACCCAGCACTGATCCTTGTGGCACACCGCTGGTCATAGGCCTCCAGTCTGGAAAGCAACCCTCCACCACTGCCCTCTGTCCTCTACCTTCAAGCCAGTTCTGTATCCAAATGTGCTAGTTCTCCCTGTATTCCATGTGCCCTAACTTTGCTAACCAATCTACCATGAGGAATCTTGTTGAACGCCTTACTGAAGTCCATATAAATCACATCCACTTCTCTCCTCAAAACTCAATCAAGTTAGTGAGAGACTATTTCCCACACGCAAAGCCATGTTGACTATCCCTAATCAGTCCTTGCCTTTCCAAATACATGTAAATCCTGACCCACATGATTCTCTCCAACAACGTGCCCACCACTGATGTCAGGCTCACCAGTCCATAGTTCCCTGGCTTTTCTTTACCACCTTTCTTAAATAGTAGCACCACATTAGCCAACCTCCAGTCTTCTGCACCTCACCTCAGGCTATCAATGATACAAATATCTCAGCAAGGGGCCTAGCAATCACTTTCTTAGCTTCCCACAGAGTTCTAGGGTACACCTGATCAGGTTCTGGGTATTTATCCACCTTTATGCATTTTAAGCTGTACAGCAGCGCCTCCGCTGTAGACTGGAGGGTAGTGAATGTTGTGCCCTTATTCAAGAAAGGTTGCAAAATAAAAACTTGGAATTATACTAAGCTTAACATCTGTCGTAGGTAAGTTACTTCAGAAGATTCCAAGGGATAAGATATACATGCATTTGGAAAAACCGGGTTTGATTAGGAGTAGTCAGCATGGCTTTGTGCGTGGGAGATCATGCCTCACAAATTTGTCAGAGTTCTTTGATGAAGTGACCAGGAAGATTGATGAGGGCAGGGTGGTACACATAGTCTATATGGATTTCAGTAAGGCCTTTGATAAGGTTCCACATAGTAGACCTCTCTGTAAGGTCAGATCACATGGAATCCAGGGAGAGCTGGCAAATTGGATACACAATTGGCTTGATGGCAGGAAGCAGAGGGTAATACTAGAAGGATGCTTGTCTGAGTGGAGGCCTGTGACTAATGGTGTGCCTCAGGGGTCAGTGCTGGGTCCATTGCTGTTTGTTATCTATATCGATGATTTGGATGAGAACGTACAAGGCATGATTAGAAAGTTTGCAGATGATACTAAAATAGGCAGTCTTGTGGGCAGTGAGGAAGGTTATCAGAAATTGCAGCAGGATCTTGATTAGCTGGGGAAATGGGCCGAGAAATGGCAAATGGAGTTTAATATAGATAAGTGCAAGGTGCTGCATTTTGCAAAGTCAAATCCAGGTAGGAGTTTCATGGTGAATGGTGGGGCCGTAAGGAGTGTAGTGGAACAGAGGGACCTTGGAGTTCAGGTGCATGGTTCTCTGAAAGTGGAGCCACAGGTAGACAGGGCAGTGAAGAAGGCTTTTAGCACATGAGCCTTCATCGGTCAGGGCATTGAGTATAGAAGTTGGGAAGTTATGTTGCAGTTGTACATGGTGTTAGTGAGGCTGCACTTGGAATATTGTGTTCAGTTTTGGTCACCTTGCTATAGGAAGGATATTATTAAACTGGAAAGAGTGCAGAAGAAATTTACAAAACTGTTGCCAGTACTCAAGGAACTGAGTTATAGGGACAGGTTGGACAAGCTGGGACTTTTATCTTTAGAGTGAAGGAGACTGAGGGGGTATCTTAAAGAAGTGTATAAGATCATGAGAGGCATGGACAGGGTGAATGCACTCAGTCTTTTTCCCAGGGTTGGGGAATCGAGGACTAGAGGACATCAGTTTAAGGTAAGAGGGGAAAGAGTACATGGGAACCTGAGGGGCAACTTTTTTTACACAGAGGGTGGTACGCATATGGAATGAGCTGTCAGCGGAATTGGTTGAGGCGGGTATGTTAACAACATTTAAAAGGCATTTGGACAAATACATGGATAGGAAAAGTTTAGAAGGACATGGGCCAAGTGCAGGGAAATGGGCTTAGTGTGGATAGACATTTTGGTCAGCACGGACCAGTTTGGGCCAAAGGGCCTGTCCCCGTGCAGTACGACTCTATGACTCTTTGGCTATGTAATGTGGACATTTTTCAAGATGTCACTATTTATTTCCCCACATCCTATATCTTCCATACCTTCTCCACAATTAACTATGCTGAGGAAAAACATCCTCCTTATTGTTGTCTTAAATGGGGGACCCCTTATTCTGATATTATGCTCTCTGGTCATACACTGTCACATAAGGGGCAACCACATGCCCTCAAACAGATGGCCTTGAAAAGGTGCCTTCTTGAACCACTGCAGTCCATTTGCTATAGGTACACCCAAGTGCTATTAGTAATGGAATTCTAGGATTTTGACCCAGTGACAGTAAAGGAACCAATGATCTAGAACATAGAACAGTGCAGCACAGGAACAGGTCCTTCAGCCCACAATGTTGAGCCGAACATGATGCCAAATTAAACTAATTGCTTCTGCCTGCTATTGGTCCATATCCCTCCATTCCTTGCATATTCATCTGCTTATCTAAAAGTCCACTAAATACCCCTATCACATTTGTCTCCACCACCACCCCTGGCAGTGCGTTCCAGACTCCTACCACTCTGTGTAAAAAAAACTTGCCCCTCGCATCTCTTTTGAACTGTCTCCCTCTAACCTAGTATTAGATACTTCAACTCTGGGAAAAAGATTCTGACCATTAGCCCTATGTATGTATCTCAAAATTTTATAGACTTCTATCAGGTCTCCCCTCAGCTTGCATCACTCAAGAGGAAACAACTCGAGTTTTTCTATCCTCTCCTTATAGCTCACTCACCCTCTAATCCAGGCAGCATCCTGGTAAACCTCTTCTGCACCCTCTCCAAAGCCTCCACATCCTTCCTGTAATGTGGCAAACCAGAACTGAATGCAATACTCGAAATTTGGCCTAACCAAAGTCTTATAAAGCTGCAACATGACATTCTGACTTTTGTACTCAATTCCCTGACCAATAAAAACAAGCATGCCATACGCCTTCTTTACCACCCTATCTACTTGCGTGGCTACTTGCAGAGAGCAATGGACTTGAACCCCAAGATCCTTCTGTACATCAGTGCTGTTCAGAGGCCTACCATTAACTGCATACTTTTCCTTAACATTTGATCTCCCGAAGTGCAGTACCTCACACTTACCTGGATTAAACTCCATCTGCCATTTATCCACCCATATGTGCAACTGAACTATATCTGGCTGTATCCTTTGACAACCCTCTACACTATCCACAACTCCACCAATCTCTGTATTGTCTGCAAACTTACTAATCCACCCATTTACATTTTCATCTAAGTAACTTACATATACATCACAAACAGCACAGGTTCCAGTATGGATCCTTGCGGAACGGACCTCCAGCCTGAGACGCACCCTTCCACCAATACCCTCTGTCTTCTATGGATAAGCCAATCTGAATCGACATGGCCAAGTCACCATGGATCCCATGCATCTTAATATTCTGGATGAGCCTACCATTAAGGACCTTGTTGAAAGCCTTACCAAAATCCATGTAAACAACATCCACTGCTGTATCCTCATCAATGACCCTTGTTATCTCCTTGAAAAATTCAATCAAGTTAGTAAGACATAACCTGCCTCACACAAAGCTATGCTGACTGTCCCTAATTAGGCCATGCTTTTCTAAACATACATAAATCCTATCCTTAAGAATTCTCTCCAATAGCTTCCCAGCCACTGATGTAAGACTCACTGGTCTGTAGTTTCCTGGATTATCCCTATTTCCCTTCTTGAACAGATGAACATTAGCTACTTGCCATCCTCCAGGACCTCTCCAGTGGCTAGCGAGGATACAAAGATCTTGGTCAAGGCCCCAGCAATCTCCTCTCCTGTGCCTCTCTCAATAACTTGGGTTAGATACCATCGGGCCCTAGGGACTTATCCATCTTAGTGCTCTTCAAGAGACCCAATTTCTTTCTTGATCAGGATATGGTTCCACAGTTATAGGATATTGTGTGGCTTGGAGGGGAACTTGTAATTGATAATATTCCCATTGCATTTGCTGCCTTTGGGCAACACCAGTGATATGGTCCACCAAACTTTTATATCCACTTCTTTGAAGAGGGTCTAACAGAAGGAATATTGAAGTCCATAATTATCAGGAGACCAGAGATTGTGTAAAACATTCTTTGAATATCTCTTTAAATATTAATTTATTTAACAAACAGTCTGAAATTTTAAAGCTCTAGTGACAGGATGTTACTCAATTTCAGGTGGTTAATAAAGGGAAGATATACATTTATAAAATGCCCCTCATGATCAGCCAACATTTCAAAGACTTTTACAGCCATTGAAGTAGTTTTTAAAGTGTAGTCCTTGTTGTAGCATGAAGCACAGCAAGCTTACATTAATGAAGGAGTATTGCTTAGAATAAACATAGATTTACTTGAAATGCTAAAACAAGATACAGTTGGCAAAACGAAATGTTACAAATAAAAATCATGAACTACTAAGTTCAAATTATTAATTGTTTCTGTAGAGCTTGCTTAGGTTTTCAATTGCTCTTAGCAGATGTGGAGAATTTTTGAGATCAGTATGCAGCGAATTTGGTAGTTCCAACTTTGTGTAATCGTCCGATTTCACGTGTTTACGAATACATTGCAAGCAGCAGTTCTTCAATGAATATACTGAGAAAGAATAAATTTATCATACACTAGAATTAGGATATTCAATTTTGAATATTATAAAGATTCAGGCTGTCAAACTATTTATTATTAAGCAATGGTGCAAACTTAAGAACCTGGGTCTTGAAATTATTGTAAGAGTAACAATTAAATGAACTGCAGCTAAGTAACAGTTTTGCTAGACTACAAACAGATATGATTCTGTTAAGGATAAATATGCTAATATTTTATGTTCATGTTTGATCACAGTTTGTGATGCATTTGTTAATCTCAGCCAAATATTAGGGAGTTGCTATATTTAGCCCCAAAGTCCGAGAGGGGAGAGGAAATAAATTACATTGATTTAACATTAATAAAATTAAGTTTTGTTTCATGCTATTTGCTGGTCCCCAAACTTCAGTAATTAACAAAGATTTTTTTTCAGAAAATTAGAGAGTGAAAGAAATATTTTCTTTCTCTGAATGGATTTTTTTCCATATCCTGTCATTTTATGCAGTATCTCAAGCGTTTTTTTCATCAATGTTTCACTGAAGATTTTGCAAGGAAATTGGAAACAATCCCATGGAAATTCTACCCCCAACTTAACAATGTTTGAGCAAAAGCTATGAAGATTGTTTTGAAATTGAATCTGCTAATAAAGTGTTTATGATGTATATGACTTTTCTTCAGAACTGTTCTGAAGAAGATTCATGTTAAATTTATATCTCTCTCCACAGATGATGCCAGATCTGTTGAGGTTCTCCAGCATTTTCAGTGTTTGTTTCTGATTTCCGGCAAATGCAATATTTTGCTTTTATAAGGAAGTAATCAAATAGGTTTTGATCAAGTGATTGGGAGAAGACAGAGTGGAGGTGGAGAAGGTGGGAAGAAGAAGAAAAGAGAAGGTCTGTGAAAGAGAAGGCCAGCATAGATTAATTCACAGTAAGTTTAGTGGAACCACATAAACGAGAAACAAAATATGTGTCCAGACGAGGTGTGAATAGCATAACAGCAGATTTTTGAATGCAAAGTGAAGGGATTAATAAGGAATTACGAAGAAAAAGCAAAACATATTGATTTAAGTCTATAAAGTAGCCAGTCGAAAGGTGAGATGCTGCTTCTCGAGTTAAGCTTCATCGAACATTGTAACTGGCCAAGGTCAGAGATGGAACAGGTTGAGAACTGAATTGACAGGAAAAAGGATGCTCCTGCTCATATGCGTTAACTGGGTGGCGGTTTGCCACGGAGGGGTCACCCAGTCTGCATCTGGTCTCTCCAGTGTGGCTACGTTGTGAGTAGTGAATACAGTATAATAAAGTGAGTGAAGTTCAAATCAATCATTGTTTCACTTGGAGTGATTGGTACCTTGGGTGGTGAGACGGCCAGAGGTTAAAAAGAGCTGAGGTCTGACACCTCCTGTGGTTACTTTGAAACTGCTGTAGGAATAGGATAGATTTTTGGAGTAATAGAGGAGTGAACCTGGTTGACATGGAAGGAATGATCCCTTAGTAATGCTAAAAAGGGTGATGTGCAGGGGAAGTTGTGTTTTGCTAGACGTGGTAGAAACAGCATTGGGTGACATGTTGAATGTGGTGGTTAGTGACATGACAGGTGTGAGGACAAGGGCAACCTTAAAGTTCTGTGAGGGAGAAGGAATGAAATGCATGAAAAAGGATTGACGTGGTGGAGGTGTTTGTCAACTGCAGCGGGAGGATGCGATAGTCAACTGAGGAATATTGTACTATCTGAACAGATTAGACGGAGAACCTGGTAGAATAGTATTAAACCCTAACAGGGAATTTGATGTATGCAAGTAAAGGCAAGGTATCTGTGGGAGGCCATGGGCTTATCATGACTACCAGTTGATTAATTATCCACAGATATTGAGATAGAAAAATCAACAAAGGGAAAGAACAACTGGATATAAACCATGGAAGGTGAGAGAACACAGAAATTAGAAGTCAAGTCTATGACATTTTCCAGTTAAGCACAAAAGCAGGAAGCAGAATCTAGGCACTCATTGGTATTCCAAAATTAAATCACAGGGAGAGGGTCTGAGTAGAACTGGAACAAAACATGTTTCATTTACCCCACAAAAAAGTTGGGCATAGCTAGGATCTATGTGTGCAACTATCTTAATAACTTTGGAGGAAGTGAGGGGAGTTGAAGGAGATGTTGTTTAATGTGAGAATATGTTTTGCAAGACAAAGGAGGAAGTCTGTTCATCATCATCATAGAATCCCTACAGTGTGGAAACAGGCCCTTCGGCCCAACAAGTTCACACCGACCCTCAGAGCATCCCACCCAAACCCATCCCCACTTAACCCACCTAATCTACACATCCCTGGACACTACGGGCAATTTAGCATGGCCAATCCACCTAGCCTGCACATCTTTGGACTGTGGAAGGAAACTGGAGCACCCGGAGGAAACCCACACAGATACGGGGAGAATGTGCAAACTCCACACAGACAGTCACCCGAGGGTGGAATCAAACCCGGGTCCGTGGCGCTGTGAGGCAGCAGTGCTAACCACTGAGCCACCATGCTGCCCTCAGTCCTGGATGGAGACTTTTTGAGTCTCTAACTGCAAATTGAGGAAGAAGTGGAGAACTTACAGACCATCTGGTGGAGGATGGAGGTGTATAGCAATTGGATGTCAATGGTGAAAATGAGACAGTTAAGGCCAGAAAACTGTTGAAGTAATGAGAACATTGAAATGCCATGGAAATGGGCAGGGAAAATGTGGACAAGAAGAGAAAAACAGAAAAGTCACGATAGGAAGAATTTAGTTCAGTGGGACTAAGAACAGATTGAAAAGACATATTAGAGTCTGGGATTTTGTAGTCTAAATGGTGAAATTACCCAGTTATTTAAAGAAAACTTCCCTCACTCTTCCATGATAATTAACAGGCTAGAGAAATATTTCAAAATAATTGCTAGAAAAAGTTAATGAGTAAATGAATGACAACATTTTGACCATCAACGTATTCAGATAACTCTAGTTGATTGTGGGTCTAAGAAGTAATGGCTGATCGACTGCCAGCTTGTGACAGTTGTGGGTTCAGCTAAAAATGAAGCTGAATTTACCTGGAACTGTGACATCAACAGGAATGTAAGTCGGACCATCTTCATCATATTGTTTGGATGTTGGAAAATATATCTCATCATTCTTTATCAGCAATTTGTCTCCAGTATCTGCATCACGAAAAACCCAAGGATGAGCTGAAAATAGTAAAAGGAGCTTGAAATCAAGTGATGGACCGTGTTGTCAGTACCTGAAGTCTATGAAACCTGCTTCTGCTGTTATTTTATGTAAGTAAAATCATGACGAGTGAAATCACAGGAACACCACCCATAAATCTGTTAAACACAGCACTTAGATGGCCAAGGAGGCCACTATGTAATCCAGTTTTGTCCCAAGACATGATCTACTTCAATAAAATTTGAAAACACACAGGTATCGTAAATATGGAAAATATCTTTACTTTTCAATTAGTTCACAACTGACAATGACCTATCGCTGTACAATAAAAGACATTGAAACGGTTTGGGAGTTTGTTCCAGAAAAACCCAATAATACCTTTCAACTTAACATGCAGTCTTTGGCCAGGTGCATTATAGGCCAACTTATCAGCACAGTCAAACATCTTTTCTGTGTTTTCCTGCTGCAGTGACAAAACAGCTGTGGAAATAGATGGTTGGGTAGATAGGTAGGTTCATTGGACTTAGGTCATCAGTCCTCAGTTGAAAAACGTACTGCAGCTATCATCGTTTCATCAGCCCGTTCTGTTGTGTAACATACAGTGTCCTGCACATTGGAGTCAGTTTTCCTGGTTGTCTCTGCTGGAATTTCCACACTAGTCCCCTGAAGGTGAGCAAAAAGAACCTTGTCATGGATATGGGTGCCCTTATTGCTCCTCCTCATTCTTGACGTCTTGCAAAGTCATACTTGTTTGAACCCAGAATGGGGGGAGTAGATGGTGATTGTGACTTCTGTCACCATCTTCCACACTTCCTCATCAAGAACATATCCTCGAAAACAGTTGGCTTTCTGCTGGCTGGACTAGTTGGCAACTTTGACACAATTGGAATTTTGGGTCATCCAATTTTAGTTCATTGTAATTCTACCGTACATCAATTTTAAGTACACAGTAACTCTGCTCCAGAGGTAATGTTACAATGTTACCAAGGCTTCTGATGCTGAGCAACTCACCTCCTTTATACCGCAACACAACAGAAAAACTGCAGGACACTTTTTGGCCACTGAACCATCTCTATTGATGGTATAGTATAGGTTTGTACTGATAAGGCAACAAAACTAAAATTATTACTGGCACAGGCTATAATTTTTGCTCAAGTTACTCAGACCTGCATCCAATGATGCACATAAAAATGAAAACATTACCAAATCAGTTGATGAACTTTACTGTATCAGATGCATTCAAGATAATGCTGTTTCATTGTTTAAACTTGGCCACATCAAAACTTATCACCATTTTGGCAATCTTGCGACTTATTCACTCTTTCACAGAAATCAACTTAGTGGCTTTTAATTTTTTCATTTCAATTCATAAAAAATATGCTTCCATTCAATGCATAAAGATACTGGCTTATCAGTTTGGCAGAAGGACAATTTGTAACATTACAGTGAAGTAACAGAAAAAAATACAAACAATGGGCATAACCTTCCAGGCTTTTGAAAGGCAGAAGGCCAAAGGTCACATTCCGGACATCAAACCAGAATGGGCATGCGTGAGGCGCTCAAGACAAAACGGCCATGATGAAAGAAAGGTACACATAAAGGTGAGAAGGTATGACAAGCAGTTAAACCTAAATGGAGTGGTTGTCAGGAATGCCAGAAGCATCTTGGGAAATGGAGATAGGCAATTGAGAGGTTGAGGAAAGTGTTAGGGGCAAAGAAGGGTCGGAGCTGTACGTTGTTGAGAGAGGGTAACACAAGAGGGTAATGAGGGGTGCAATTGAAGGAGCAGATAAATTGAATAAGGGTGCATGCCTGAGGGCATGTATGGACAGCTTGATGGTTGTGGGCTAAGTCTACGGAGGAAACATAGGAGGGGCAGTGGAAATGATTGGAGCACCACTAGAAGTGAAGATTAATGCATGAGAGAGGAAAGGAATTGAATTGAAATAGTTTTTTTTTGTCACATGCACTCAAATGAGTGCAGTGAAAAGTTTGCAATGTCGCCGCTTATAGCGCCATCTTAGGTACAAGATACCTTGGTACAGATACTTATGTATTTGGTACAAAATTGAAAGAATAATAAATAAAAGTCCAGCATAAGAATGAAAAGGGGAAAAAAAAGTACTCGATTTACAGTCTTTCCACCCTAGTCCATGCCAGCACCTAGCCTCCAGATTGCACCGGGCCAAGTCTCCAGACCACATGGTGCTTTAAAACCCGAGGCCTCACCTCGAGTCCGCAATGGGCCTCGCCTTCCTGCAATGGCCTCCAGTCCAGGACTCACCACTCCACGCCAGCCTCCAGTATGGGACTTCTCTATATCAGCTCCAAGGTAGCAAGGGGTACTACCAGAACACAAGACTAATAACACTAGTGTGTAGCCTACAGACTGATGATGAAGAGTTTAAAAATGCTGTCCATGCATTCAAAGGCAAAGCAGTAGACATTAACTACATGGACTTTCGTAAAGCCTTTGACAAGGTCCTGTATGGTAGACTAATCAGTAAATTTAGATCACATGGGATACAGGGAGAGCTTGCCAATTAGATACAAAATTGGCTTGACAGTAGAAGACACGGTGGTGGTGGAGATTTGTTTTTCGGACAGGAGGCCTGTGACCAGCAGTGTTCTGCAGGGATCGGTGCTGAGTCCATTTTTGTTTGTAATTTACATAAACGAATTGGATGAAAATTTAGGAGGCATAGTTAGTAAGTTTTCAGATGAGACCAAATTTGGTGGTGTAGTTGACAGTGAAGAAGGTTATCTAAGATTACAAGGGGATCTTGCTCAATTGGATCATTGGGCTGAGGAGTGGCAGATGGAGTTTAATTTAGATAAATGGGAGGTTTTGCATTTTAGTTAATAAGGGCAGGACTTATACAATTAATGGTAGGGTCCTGGGCAGTGTTGTCCAACAGAGACCTAGGGGTTCAGGTACATAGTTCTTTGAAAGTTGCATCACAGGTAGACAGGGTGGTTAAGCAGGTATTTAGCACGCTTGCCTTCATTGCTCAGTCCTTCAACTATAGGAGTTGGGACATCATGTTAAGTTGTATAAGACACTGGTGAGGCCACTGCTAGAGTACTGTGTACAGTTCTGGTTGCCGTGCTATAGGAAGGATATTATTAAATTGGAAAGAGTTCAGAAAAGATTTATCAGGATGTTGCTAGGACTGGAGGGCTTGAGTTATAGGGAGAGGCTGGGACTTTTTTCACTGGAACGTAGCAGGTTGATGGGTGCCTGGGAGGTTTATAAAATCATGAGGGACATGGGTAAGGTTCATAGCAAAGGTCTTTTCCCTAGGGTTAGGGTGTTCAAAACAAGGGGGTATATTTTTAAGGTGAGAGGAGAAAGATTTAGAACCCAAGGGGCAATTTTTTTCACACAGAGGGTGATTCGTATGTGGAATGAACTGCCAGAGGAATTGGTAGATACAAGTACAGTTATAACACTTAAAAGACATTTGGATAGATACATGAACAGCAAAGGTTTAGAGGGATATGAGTCAAACACAGGCATGTGGGACTAATTCAGTTTGGGAAACTTGGTTGGCATGGATGAGTTGGACCAAAGGGTCTGTTTCCATGCTGTATGACTCGATGATAATGTGCCTCTGCTGCCTGGACTGTTCAGGACTCAGCAGCTTTCAAAGTTGGCTAGAAGAAAAACAGAACTAAATCAGAAGCTTTGACAGCTAGAAAGAGACCCCACCAAAGTAGTACAAAATGTGATATTTGTATGAATAGTGCCTAGTTCTACATAACATTGATACTTGTGCGCCCAAAATAATCTCAAAATTCTTTAATCTTTCTTTTCCTACCACTTCAACTGGGAGCTACCTTGACAGTCACAGCTGAGCTTAAACAGTGCTGACTGCTTTGCCAACTTTTAAGGTAAGATGTTGGAGGTTGAGAGGGGATTTGAGGATTTTTTTTCCACCAAAAGGGTGGTGGATATCTGGAACTCATTGCCTAAGAGTGGCAGAGGGGGAATGCCCAAGACTTTTAAGAAGCATTTAGATCGACACTTGAAATGTCATAACATACAAGTCTATGGGTCAGATGCCAGGAAATGGGGCTATAATAGATGTTGGAGAACTGGTACAGACACTGAGCTGAAGGACCCATTCCCGTGTTGCAAAAACTCTGAGTTCATCCTGTATTATATGTTCAATCACTCATTTGGCCAGTTGGCTGGTTTATGGTGGCAGTGATGCCAACAGCATGAGTTCAATTCCTACACTGTCTGAGGCTATCATGTAAGATTTTCCTTCTCAACCTCACCCCTTCCCTTAGGCTTGGTAACCTTCAGGTTAAACCACCACCAGTCATCTCTCTCTAATGAGCGAGCAGCCCTACGGTCTGTAAGACCATGGTGACATTACCTTTATACATTAACTTCACCTTTATACAGCGGTGTGTCACAAGCACCACCACCCCCTCCCCTCCCTTCCCCAAAACCCCCACCCCCACCTGAATCATAAGTATGCCATTGGACCATTTATTAGCTTCCAAACTTGGTCATTCCTTAGCCATGATTTTCTCCCATTGTTTGTCCACATGATGCTGCCCAGTTAATTAACACCTTCAAAGGGTAGTCTTAGGTCTGCCATTTTCCTGATTATTTACAGCAATCCAGGCAAGAAAAAAAACACCCAATTAAGCGACAGCATACCTTTTTTTAAAAAAAGACGTGTACAGTATCCATTACAGAGTTGGTTCAAAAATACACTTTGAACATTAGACATTTTTAGATCAGATATTCAATACATTTATTTTGCTCTTTAGTCCTAGGTAATGTTCATCGAGATATAGTCCTAAGAATAACGCAGGGCCCCTTTGAAAGTAAACACTGTGTAGATTCAGCAGTTTCAGGTTTACAGGAAGCAGTACAAGGCTTATCCAATTTCCTGCAGGAATATGTGGCTCAGCTTCAAAGAGGGAGAGGGTTGATTATCCGAGCGAGCTACATCTTACAGCTATATCTGATTCTGCATTGTTCATTCCCAGCTACTTACTCCGGTACGTGCGCATATGCAGGGCTCCTCCAGGCGGAATATCATCATAGTTCTGAGGAACTCCGTCAAAATTAATCCACCAAGGCCTTGCAGTCCGCATGGTCCGATTGACAAATTTAACAAAAGTGGCTTCGTCTGAGCGCAGAGACCTAAGCGCACTCACTGGCTGTTCGCCTGTGTGAGCCATAACATCTTCGTGATTAAACTAGGCCAGTGCCGTCTCCCATCGAACGCTTTCACTTTGATTTGGAACCGTTGCAACAAACCCGGAAGTCCCAACTTAAAAGCCAGATAGCTGTAATTATCCTTAAAGATAGAGTAAAATCGAGGAGGTAGCATGTGTAAACAGGAACAGAGCTAGGGAGAGCTTGAATTTAAACACTTCCAGGTGTAAAACAAACTTAGGTTCAAATCAAGGTGCAGGGCTGGATGAACACAGCAGGCCAAGCAGCATCATAGGAGCAGAGAGGCTGACGTTTCGGGCCTAGACCCTTCATCAGAAAAGGGGGAGGGGAAGGGGGTTTTGAAATAAATAGGGAGAGAGTGGGAGGCGGATAGAAGAGGGATAGAGGAGAGGATAGGTGGAGAGGAAACAAACAGGTCGAAGAGGCGGGGATGGAGCCAGGAAAGGTGAGTGTAGGTAGGGAGTTAGGAAGGGGATAGGTCAGTCCAGGGAGGACGGACAGGTCAAGGGGGCGGGATGAGGTTGGTCGGTAGGAGATGGAGGTGCGGCTTGAGGTGGGAGGAGGGGATAGGTGGGAGGAAGAACAGGTTAGGGAGGCAGGGACGAGCTGGACTGGTTTTGGGATGCGGTAGGGGGAGGGGAGATTTTGAAACTTGTGAAATCCACATTGATACCATTGGGCTGCAGGGTTCCCAAGCGGAATATGAGTTGCTGTTCCTGCAACCTTCGGGTGGCATCGTTGTGGCACTGCAGGAGGCCCAGGATGGACATGTCGTCTGAGGAATGGGAGGGGGAGTTGAAATGGTTCGCGACTGGGAGGCATTCCACTCCCGTACATCTCAGTTGTCCTCGTTTTTCAAGGACCGTAACTTCCCCTCCTCGGTGGTCGAGAACGCCCTCAACCGTGTCTCCCACATCTCCCGCACCTCATCCCTCACACCCCGTCCACGCAATAAAAACCAAAAAAGAATCCCCCTCGTCCTCACGTACCACCCCACCAACCTCCGGATCCAACGCATCATCCTCCGACACTTCCGCCATCTGCAATCCGACCCCACCACCAAAGACATCTTTCCCTCCCCACCTTTATCTGCTTTCCGGAGGGACAACTCTCTCCGTGACTCCCTTGTCCGCTCCACACTCCCCTCCAGCTCCACCACACCCGGCACTTTTCCCTGCAACCGCAGGAAGTGCTACACCTGCCCCCATACCTCCTCCCTCACCCCCATCCCAGGCCCCAAGAAGACTTTCCACATCAAGCAGATGTTCACCTGCACATCTGCCAATGTGGTATACTGCATCCGCTGTACCCGGTGTGGCTTCCTCTACATCGGGGAAACCAAGCGGAGACTCGGGGACCGCTTTGCAGAACACTTACGCTCGGTTCGCAACAAACAACTGCACCTCCCAGTCGCGAACCATTTCAACTCCCCTCCCATTCCTCAGACGACATGTCCATCCTGGGCCTCCTGCAGTGCCACAACGATGCCACCCGAAGGTTGCAGGAACAGCAACTCATATTCCGCTTGGGAACCCTGCAGCCCAATGGTATCAATGTGGATTTCACAAGTTTCAAAATCTCCCCTCCCCCTACCGCATCCCAAAACCAGTCCAGCTCGTCCCTGCCTCCCTAACCTGTTCTTCCTCCCACCTATCCCCTCCTCCCACCTCAAGCCGCACCTCCATCTCCTACCGACCAACCTCATCCCGCCCCCTTGACCTGTCCGTCCTCCCTGGACTGACCTATCCCCTTCCTAACTCCCTACCTACACTCACCTTTCCTGGCTCCATCCCCGCCTCTTCGACCTGTTTGTTTCCTCTCCACCTATCCTCTCCTCTATCCCTCTTCTATCCGCCTCCCACTCTCTCCCTATTTATTTCAAAACCCCCTTCCCCTCCCCCTTTTCTGATGAAGGGTCTAGGCCCGAAACGTCAGCCTCTCTGCTCCTATGATGCTGCTTGGCCTGCTGTGTTCATCCAGCCCTGCACCTTGTTGTCTCGGATTCTCCAGCATCTGCAGTTCCTACTATCTTAGGTTCAAATCAGTCGCCTGGACAAACATGCAACCAGGAAACAGACAGTGTGTGCTCAAACCACAAGGCACACGAGCTACAGAGATTAGTCCTCATCTGAATAGTTGAGGTGTGCATTGGGGAAAGCAATACCCACACAAATTATAAGGGCACTTTTGACCAGTGGTACGTCCCTATATCTGAGCCAGGAAGCCTGGGTTCTCAGCTAAGTCCCACCTGCTCCAAAAATGTGTGATAATGTGTCTGGTCAGGTGGATATAAAAATATCTACCTGTACAAGGGTAAGTTCCAGAGTGCAGAGGTAAAAGGAATATTCTTGGCTCAACAGGAAAGTTTTATTTGAAACTAAGCCTAACCTTTAGTTGGTAGAACATAAATAAATATGAACATATCAGAGAGAACAAGCATTATTTAGTGAAGGTTAAGTAAGCTAACCTGATTTTCTTTGGAAGAGTTTACTCAAGTCAGATATGTGTGTCTAACGATGCTTTTTATGTCACCTTACAGAAGGGCATTTATTAAGGCTCAATGCAAGAGATGGTTAGCAAAAATGAAACTGCTTGGAATTGGAGGTTATCCATTGACATGGACAGGCATTTAGTTGGAAAGACAGATACGTAGTCAAGAGAGCAGTGGACGGGAGCAGAAAGTTCCTAAGGGATATTGATCGATCCAATTAATTCACAAAGCCATGGCAGATGTAAGAATGATGTTTTCCACTTTTGAATCTAAAAAAAGTGAGATCAGAGCATTTTCTAAGTGGTGAGAAGCGACAATCTTTGGAGGAAAAGAGAGATTTTGGGGTCTATATATTAAAATTACTAAAAGCTGCTAATCTGGTGCAAAATTAGTTGAAAGTCCTATTAGAAACAAAGAGCTGATTTTTTTTGGCTCAAGTGTAAGTTGCATCAAGCTTTATCGAACATTTTTCACCAAAAGACTTAATGAAATTTCTCACCATATCTTACCAAACTCACCTTGTTAATTACCTATACCCTCATGTCTGAGTCCAGCCCCATCTTATCACAGTGTTCCTCGAACAACTTGCTGCTCACTGGCTATCCACCAAATGACCAGCATCCCTTTGCCCACACCATCTGTGAAAGGCTGCTGTGCTTGCAGACAAGCATTGGCAATCTGGCATGCCCCTCATTGGCAATATTATGCCTCAGCGATCACAAAACCACACTGTTCAGGTACATAGACAGCCTGGCTGACACTCTCTCGCACATGTAACTGTACTCTCATACTGTAGTCACTGTTTAACCAGCAGGCCATACAGTCCACATGTCCTTAGCTACAATCTGTCTAAACACCCTCCCTAGGTCACTGCTGCTACTCTGTCCCCATTGCTCATTGGAGACCAGCATTTTGTCATTAACTAAGGCTTGCTGGACACGAGACATTACCTCTGTTTTTCTCTCCATGGATTCTCCCAGACCTGCTGACTTTCTCCAGCAATTTCAGTTTTTGTTTCAGATTTCTTGTTTCTGCAATTCTTTGTTTTATTGCTAGATTTTTGTTAGGTAAGGATATTAAGGGTCGAGGAATTAAATTGGATTCGTGGGATTGAAATTGAAATAAATTGTATAGTGTTACACTCTGAATGGCCTGTTCCAGTCCCATGCACAGCCTCACTCTCAAACAATCTGGAATTAGACCCTGCCAGGAATACAACCCTGACTCCTTTCAAGACACGTCATTATAGAGGAGGACATTAAGATGACCAGTATGCAGGGCATCTCCTCAATTATTACTGCAAGAGACAATAGAACATATTTGATTACAGAAGTCTTCGTGTGCAACCCAGCTCATTTTCAACACAAGTGCCTCCACTCTCAAATAAAAGAACATGCCCTCAACCCTATATGAAAAAAAACAGACTTTGTCATCCACAGGTTAGCTGGTTACATCCCATTCTTCCTTAAAAAAGATCTGGGAGAGCAGAATTCCCGAGGACAAAAGTATACTGGCAATTTCAAACTAATCTGGCATTGATATACAGGATTCTAATCACATATCATCTGTATTTTCAGTAAGTAGAAGGTATTTTATTCCTGAAGCTTGCAGTCGATATTACCTTCTATACAGAGCACTTTGGGATTGATCATAGCCTGACTAAAATCTAGAAGTTGCTGTCTGGCCACCATATAAAATTTATTGAATTCTCCTGCTGTCCTAAAGCTCCTTTCAGTGATGTGGTGAGTACCTACCTAGATGGCAGACAGAGTGGTATGACACAGGTCCTATTTGATTAGGTGAAACATATAGTGATATAAAAGCCAAGTGGAGTGATAACTTTATTTGCTACCAGACAGAGCAGGTAGCAGCATGCTAGTCAGAATTTAATATCTTCTGAATTAACTTACTTGTAGTAAATCATTACTGCTGCTAACCTCAGCTCCTTCACTGTTAATAGATACAATGTTTTTTAGAATTATTTCTGTTTTACTACCAGACCAGTCAAAGATTAAGTCTGATTTTCTAAGAATCCATGCTCCTTTTAAATTGCCAGTAATTTGATTTACTTTGAATCTATCTGCAGATGTTCTTATAACTCAAAACACGTAACATTTTGCAGCTTTCTGATGTTTCATATATTAAGACTGTGTTCATGTGTATCTAATCACTTGGAAGGCCTAATCTTTCTACATTTTACAATGTTTTCAGCGTAAATCATTTATGCTAGTATGAGATGATGCCAGTAGGAATACATTTCTTATACTTCATTTTGACTTACCCTGAATGCAAAGTGAGCACTGATCGTGTGTTAAGGACCACAAAATCTATTATAATGAGGTGCTAATAACACTGGCATAGGCAGTCAGGAAGGCCCAAATCTGAATGAATTGGCACAACAGCCATAACAGAATGGAAACCTACACAATCTGGAGGTTCAGTGAGTACAAATTCAATTCTCATGCCAAAAGAGTATTGAAAAAATTGAACAAATTCGAGGTCAAGCTGTTTCTCAACATGCTTGCAGTTTCCTGTTGATTATCACCATGATTTCACGATGCCTTGATTTCATCGATATAAATTATGTCTTGGGGGCAAGGTTTGTTCCTGGGCTAACAGGAAGTGAGCATTTAAAGGGAATCTATTTTTTAAGAATGTCTGAAGGAACAACTTATTTTCACATTAGTGCCTACTGTTATTCACCTCAAAACCATACTTCCGGGTAGAAATACACCTTCAGGGATTACCAGAGGAAGGGAACTTTGAAAGATCCTGATTTATTAGGGAAGCAGTGACAGAGATGTACCACCTCCTAGCACCTGATCTCCAACCAACTTTAACCAGTGGATTAGCATTGCCACTTGTTGTCAAGATCACAATATAACTCCTAAACTTGGAAGTCTCAGGGTCGTTATAACCTGACAAAAAGACATTAGCAGCATTAGTCTGTCTGCAGTTCACAGATATTTTGAGTAGAAAATTGATCTTTTAAGTGCCAGCAAAAACAA